AAAAAAAAAAAAAAAAGAAATGTGATTGTGACTACTTTTTATAATCTCAGGGTTGTTTTTAACTTAGGCAGTACATATATAGGATAAAAAAATTCAAAAAGTACAAAAGAGGGGCACCTGGGTGGCTCAGTGGGTTAAGCATCTGCCCTTGGCTCAGGTCATGATCTCAGGGTCCTGGGATGGAGCCCCGCACCCAGCTCCCTGCTCAAAGCGGAGTCGGCTTATCCCTCTGCCCCTCCCCTCCTGCTCATACTCTCTCAGATAAATAAAATCTTATTTTTTTTTAAAGATTTTATTTATTTGACAGAGAGAGACAGCCCAAGAGGGAACACAAGCAGGGGGAGTGGGAGATCCACTCGTACTATTTTGTGTATGTGTTTGTGAGTATCAAGAGAGATAGTACTGAATTCAGAAGCATGCGAGATCTCTTTCATGGTTTTCCCACAGTATGTTTTGGAAATCATTCCATAGCAACATGGAAACAATTTCCTTTTATTTCTGGCTGCACAGTACTCAGTATATGAATGCACCATAACTTACAACTTAATTAACAAGTACACCGGTCTCCTCGTGATTTAGATTCTTTCTTTTTTTTCTTTCTTCTTCTCTCCCTTCCCTACTAAGAACTAAACCATACTGCCTCAGGTTTATTATTATTATTAAAACAGCATTACCATATCCAATTATAGGCTGTGTTGATGGACATTTAGATGGTTTCCAATTCTTCACTGTTATAAACAGTGAGTAACTGGCTGGTAAGTTGGTTTACACACATGTAAGTATGACCACAAGATGAATTCCTGCAAGTGGAACGTGTTGGGGGCTATGTGCATTTACTGGGGTTGGTTGTTGTTGTTGTTGTTTTAAAGGGTTTTTTTTTTTAAGATTTTATTTATTCATTTGACAGACAGAGATCACAAGTGGGCAGAGAAGCAGGCAGAGAGAGAGGAGGAAGCAGGCTCCCCCCTGAGCAGAGAGCCCGATGTGGGGCTTGATCCCAGGACCCTGAGATCATGACCTGAGCCGAAGGCAGAGGCTTTAACCCACTGAGCCACCCAGGCGCCCCTGTTTTTTTTTTAATATTTTATTTTTTGACAGATCACAAGGAGGCAGAGAGGCGGGGCGGGGTGGGGGGAGCAGGCTCCCCTGCTGAGCAGAGAGCCAGATGCGGGGCTCCATCCCAGGACCCTGAGATCATGACCTGAGCCAAAGGCAGAGGCTTAACCCACTGAGCAACCCAGGTGCCCCCATTTACCAGGTTTTAAAAAAGTTTTTGTTTATTTATTAAGTAATCTTCACACCTAACATGGGGCCTGAACTCACCATCCTGAGATCAAGAGTCGCACACTGTTCCGACGTAGTCAGCCAAGCGCCCCCTTTTACAGTTTGGATGGATATTGTTGAACTACCCTCTAGTAAGGCTTTACCGAGAGTTATGTCAAGCGTTGAGAGTGAATTCAAAGGAAGAAGAGAAGGTAAGAGATAAGAACGCTAGTGGGAGGCTGAGTCACAGAGATTCCTCTTTGATGAGGCAGACTCACACAGGGTGGACCCAAGGGGGAAGACGAGGACACACAGGGCCAGTGAAGGGATGGGAGGAGAGAGCTTCCACAGAAAAGCATATCAGACACAGGTGTGGAGGCCTAGAAGAATGAGAAAAGGAGGCCCTGGCTTCCCGGGGATGTGGGGAAACAGAACCAGAAGAGCAGGAAAGAAAAAACCCTGTCTGGACCGAACCCACACTCTGGGGGCCTGGCTGGCAATCAGTAAAGGGTCCAAGAGGAACAGATTCTGGGGTGACCTCTGAGAGACAAGGCCACGGGGGTGCCTCCCTCGTTACATTCTTCAGAAAGCTGAAGACATGCGCCAGTCTCCCTAGCAGACAGACAGGCTAGCCCCAGTGGACAGCGGAGTGATGCGCCAGGTCTTGGGCCAAACCAGCCACATCCACCCAGCCCCAGGCCCTGGGAGCAAGGGGCAGATGCTCCGCCCTTCCACTCCCTACTTTCTACCCCCTCAAGAGGACAAAGGGCCAGAGTGGCCATAAAGCCAGCCCCTCCCCCTGCTGCCAGGCCTCAGGACGTCTCCAGGAAACAGACTCCTCCTCCTAAGCCACTCCTCCAACAGAAAGAGGGGGAGGGCAAAAGAGGGGAGTGAAGGAAAGACCAGGGTGCTCAGGAGGCCAAAGGAATCTGGACTGGACTGGCCACAGACAGGGAAAGGGGAACAAGCTAACCCACCCTGTTGAGGATTTCTCTACCCTGTGCAAGAATCAAAGGTTTAGATGCCCCGAGCCTCTGTCCACCTTGCCTGTCTTGATCCATCTGAGCCTCCAGGATGGCTTTGTCCAGCTTTTTCCCACCTCCAACCTCTAGCGAGGCTCATCTGAGAATGGACTCCTTGATACCAAATAGCTCCCCTCCACCCCCCAGAGCACTGCAGTGCCCTTAAAAATGGCCTGGAGCTCACACTCCGTTCACACCCTACCCAGCTTCCTCAGTGACCCAGGAAATCCCTACTCCACCCTGTGTTGTGCAAACAGGCCAGTCTGGGGCGGCGGGATGGGGGGTTTCCAAATGAGGAAGGTTGGTCTCAAGACCAGGGAGCCCCAACCAGCTCATCTCCCTGACCAGAACCCAGAGGTTTAGGTTCGGGTTCTGGAGTGGGGCTCCCATGGACCCTCTATCAGAGCAGGAAGGCACAAGCAGCTCAGGTCAATTAGTGTCATCTCCACCTACACTCTGTGCCACTTCCTTGTGGAACAGGCTCAGGCTCTGGGCCAGTGGGATTCAGGTGGCCCAGCCTGGCCCAGAGATGGTACCCACTCTCCACCTCCCCCACCCGGAATTCTCATCCCACCGTTTCTCAGAGAGCCAGGAGAGCTACTGGAAGGACAAGGAGAAGAGCAGGTCCTTAACCTGAGAGAGAGAGACACTGGCCCAGGAAAAAGCTAGACAGTCTCTTTTTCCACTTTCCAGAACTGAGACCATCCCCAGACTGAGTACCAGCCCAGTCCTAGCCCCCAAATTGCCCAGCCTCTGCTTCTGTTATCTCCTGAGCTATTTTGGGTCAGAGTGCTGGGTTTCTACCAGAAAAGGTGGTCTTATGCAGGAAAAACAGCACGGGACTTTTGAAGATCCTGCCTGGGTTGAGTCCCACATCTCCCATATATAAGCAGTGCTATCCTGGGCTAATTATTTAACACGGGAGTCAGTTTCCTAATCTAAAAAGTGGGCTGCCGACTAATAGCACCCTTTTCAGAAGTGGCTGTCATGAGGCTGAAGTTAGAGGCTGAGTGGTACAGCCATCAGTCAACTATCAAGTGCTAACAGAGGTTATCAGCTGTGACCCATCCCTGCCCTGGAGCCCCACCTGGCCAGAGCAGCGGAAGAAAAAATGGGGAACGAGGGTCTCTGGAGGGGCCCTGATTCCCAGTGCACTGCTCAGTCCCAGGAGGAAGGAAGAGCCCCCACCTTGCTCTTATCCCTGGAAGTAAACAAGGCTACCACATCCTCAGCTGGGAGAGCCCTGCCTGGCTCACCGCGTCCACACACACCTGCCTGGACAGCTGACATCCCTCCCCTACCAGGTACACATACCAGTGGGCTGACTCACAGGGCAACCCTCGTCACCCCCACCCCAGAGCCTCTGGGTACTGTGCCCACAACACCATCCCTTCCCCTTTTAGGTCAACCCCTGACCAGGCTTGTCTTTTAGCTTCTGGGGTCTGGCCCTTTCTTCCAGACCACCAAAAGGCCAACAGATGGGGACAGGGGTGCAGACAGAAGCCAACCTGTCCCTGCCTGGCAGCAGAGCAGACATCTTCCCCCAGGCTCACTCAACAGGGCCTCAAGGTGCCTAGAACGGTGCTTGGCAGGGGGTGCTTACCTAGTCACCCTGCGGCCCCCAGGCAACTCACTCCCTGACTGCGCGTATCACAGTCAGGAACCAGGACTGGCAAGGAGCTGCCTCCTCTCTCCCAAACACACATCCAGGAGCACCAGCCCATTCAACATCCTGAATTCTGGACCCAGAGTCTGGGCTCTAGAATGTTTCCCCTCCCCACTCAGGTAGCCTGGCCTTTGTTTACTGCTTGTACTGCCTACTTCTAAGGAGCAGTCGGGGCAGAAAGAGACCGTCCTCCTTACTGCTTTCTGATGCTCGCCTTCCCCAGGACTCCGTGACCAACCCCCTTTCTAAGTTTCCCCAAATCCATCCCACCCGTTTCCCTCGTCCTTACCGCCAAAACCCTGGGTCCGCAGCTCGCGGTAGGACTGGTAAACTTCCCGCGTGAGGTAGTTGATGAAGCCCTCCCTGGGCGCGAACTTGCACACGAAGTTCTGCTCGTAGAGGCAGTTCATTAGGAAGCAGGCTGCAATGGCGTCCTCCCCGCCGTCGGGCTGCAGCTCCACCAGCGCCAGGTTGCAGTTCTGGGTGGTGCAGCAGGCGCGCACGCAGTCCCAGCCGCGGCGCACGGTGGGGGAGCCCAGGAAGGTGGCCCCGTTGCTGACCGAGGCCTCGGTATCGAGCACGAAGGCAGGCACCCCGGCGGTAAAGCGCTCCAGACAGGGGGCTCCCGTGGGCAGCCCGGGGGGCGCGGGCGGCGGCCCTGCCTCGGTGCCCAGGAGGTCGAGCGCGCACAGGAGCCACACGACGACTGCTGGGACGCGGGCCTGGGAGAGGCGGGCGCAGGCCATCATCCTCCCCTGGGCCGTCGCCATCCTCCCCACGGGGGTCACCTTTACTGAGCGGGCCTGTGGGCTCCGAGGGTGCTAGCGATCTGAAAGAGGGTAGGAGACGGGGAAGGAGACACACGGGATCAGCCCGACGCTTCAAGAGAGGCGAGCCTGCCCGGAGTTAAGTCGGGCGGAGGGCCGGGGAGCACCCCGCGCCCGGGGGGTGAGGAAGGGGACGCGGACCACGTCAAGCACACTCCGGGTGAGCCCGCAGCCCGACGGACGGTCAGATGGACGGCTAAGGAGCCCACGTACCCGGACACACGCAGCAGCGCGGAACAAAGGACCGAACATGCTCCGAGCCCGCTCCGTCCCCGCCTCGCGCTCTGGGGCCCGGGTTACCTGCGCAGGTGAGTGGGGTGGGGCCCGGCCTGCCGAGGTTCCGGTCCCGGCTTCCTGCGCGGCTCCGGCCGCCGCTTCCGCCCCGGTGGCGGGTGCGCTGGGGCTCGGCCTCCTCCTCTTCAGGTTTCTGGTGAAACTGAGTCAGTGCGGCCGGGGCGGGGCGGACATTAACCCCGGCTCCGCCGGCCCCGCCCACGCCCGGTGCGCTCCGCCAGCCCAGCCCCGCCGAGCCCCGCGGAACCGCCGCCCCGCGGCCCCCGACTCTCCTGCGCGGACTGCTCCCCGCGGGGGCTCTGAGCGGCGCCCCTCCGGCCTGCTCTACGTCCGCTCCGCCGAATCCAGGCTCGAGGCGGGGTCCCGCGCCCCAGAAGTGCAGCCGGATCCCCGGGGGCCCGGACGCCGCCGAGACGCTGCAGCGAGGTCGCCCACTCGGGGGTCGGGCGCTCCGCGGCGGCTGCCTCTGGCCTCCCTTTCCGGTCGGGGCCGTCAATCCTAATCAGGCCTGAGGCGCTGGTGAAGGGACTGGGGGAGGAGAAACCAGGGAAAGCCCGATGCAGACGATTTGGCGGGCGTCGCCAGCCCTCGGGAAATCATTTCCATCTCGTGGCAGGAAGAGATCCCCCGAAGCTGTGGGGTTGCACCTTAGATAACTGGAATCCGGGATGCCTGTTCCAGCGTCACCGCCCTAGCCAGCTCCGGGAAGCCCTCCTTTCTGCCAGAGTGAGCAACTGAGGCAATTCCCTCTTCCACTCTTCCCTGTGGGACCTGCTGTGGCTCCATTGCGTTTGAGGCCCTTCCATACAGTGTATCAAGGCTTACGTTCAGGTCTCCGTTGGAGCTGAGTCCCTGTTAGCTCACTGGTCTGCTGCCTCGTCCCCTGGAGCACAGGTTCCCTCTTCTCTCCCACGAAGAAGCTGTTCCTGGTCAAGAGCTGGCCATTCTCTTCCAGCGGAATGCCATCCTTGAAAGCTAGAGATTCCAGCTCACCAAAGTAGTTTAGATAATGACCTTCACAGAACCGTGAGCTCCTTGAAGCCGAGAGTGAAGAACTCCTCTTAAAGACTATTCCTGCAGAGCAAGACGGGTCCTATTAATGCTCTCCCAAAAAAGAGATTCCACACCTTTTCACAATGACTTAACAAACCCCACCCAGTGGAACATTCTTCCTAATTTCTCATGTAGAGCAGCTTTACCTACTAAGTCCTGTAGCCAACCTGTTAATCATTTTCCTGGCTGAACTGCAACATCCCCCAGTTGCCTACCTTCTGGGTGTTGGGGTGGGAATCTGGGGTCTGTCCCCCTTCTTTGGATTTTCTGCTTTTCTCCCACTGCCCCCAGCACAGTGGACATAGGGCAAGGATGTTATGCTGGGAGTGAAGCAAATGATTGTGCAGTTACTGGGAAGAAAGGATTTTGTTGTGAGTTGATTTTTGCCTTCCCCAGTACACTATACACACAAGAATCCTAACACAGGAGACTATTACCTATGGTAACATTACATAACCATAGATTGATCATTACATCCATCCACACCATTATGAAAACCTGTATTCATCAAGCACTGACAGTGCCCAGACCCTTAGGTTCCTAAGCACTTCCCAACATTGCCCCATATACTCAGACCAAGAAAGCAGGTATTATTTTTATCCCCAATATACAGATGAACAGGCAGGTTGTGTCAGGTAATGTGGCATGTGGCAGAGTGAGGATTGACATCTAGGTAAGCCAATTCCATTGCTTTAGTGCCTAAACCATGGGCTTTATAGCACTTGCAGCTTTGACTTCAGCTGGCCCTTCTGCCCTCACCACAGAATTTAACTTGCCTGAAGCAAAAAATTCATTTTCAAGTGGTGAGCAAATCACCTTGAGGTAAGACACTAACCAGCACACTTGACAGAGATGATTACTAATGCTCACAGGAAGTCTGAGAACAGTTTCCACTTTGCAGAGAAGTTCGCTAGCTCCACTGAGGTCACAGAGTAAAGAGTGGGAGGCAAGGCTGGATAGGGGTTGAGTTGGTGGGCTTATATCTCAGGCCCCTGGGTTTAGTTATCATCTGCCATTTATTCTCTGTGTGGCCTTTGGTAAGTTAGTTAGCCTCTCTGTGCTTTGGTTTCCTTGCATACAATGTGGGGCTTCATAGGTTATTATGAGGCTTAAATGAGTTAACACAGATTAAACATTTGCTACCATGAATGCCCAGTAAATGTTACCTGCAAAAAGTAACAGAGCCAGAATTTTATTCCAAGTCTCTATGACATCAAAAACTACACTTTCCCACTACTAGGAGTGCAGCCATCTCCCAGCTCCCCGCCCCTACTGAGTAGCTGTGTGAAGCCATCTTCCATCCTCATCTCCAGTTGAGCTGGCTGGCAGAGACCGACTGCACCTGCCAAGCCCCGCCCAAGATGCAGAATGGTAAGTAAATTTACAGGCTGTGTTTGTTTTACACCTTTACATTTTGGGGCGGTTCGTTATGTGACAATAATAATTGAAATAGAGGGGTAATACATTTATAGACTAAATTTTAGTTCTAATTAATGATCCATAAGCAATACATTTTATAAATTTCAGTTTGGTTTTTTGTAAAGACTTACTTATTTGAGAGAGACAGAGAGGAAGTTTGTGAGTGGGGCGGTGGGGAGGTGCTGAGGGAGAGACTCTTTAAGCTGACTGACTCCCCGCAGAGCTCAGAGCCTGATGTGTGGCAGGATCCCAGGACCCTGAGATCATGACCTGAGCTGAAACCAAGAGTCAGATGCTTAACCGCCTGAGCCACTCAGGCGACCCTAAATAAAATTCCAGTTTTAATGATCTAAGTCAAAGCCCATGACTTCTCTTGATAATGCAGAACCAACAAATTTTCATCAGGAATTTTGGGGAAAGTAATGTAATTCTTTAAAAAAAAAAAGATTTTATTTATTTATTTGACAATCAGAGATCACAGCTAGGCAGAGAGGCAGGCAGAGAGAGAGAGAGAGAGAGGAGGAAGCAGGCTTCCCGCTGAGCAAAGAGCCTAATGTAGGGCTCAATCCCAGGACCCTGAGATCATGACCCGAGCCGAAGGCAGAGGCTTTAACTCACTGAACAACCCAGGAGCCCCAGTAATGTAACTCTTTTCAAGGTGAGGCCGCTGTCATTGGTTCAGTCTTTATTTAAAGGAGACAGGTTCTCTCAGATGATGCCTAAAAGGGGCATTTTTAAAGAATTCTACTAGTGTCAGAAATGCTCCCACAATATTCCAGTGTGATAGGGGGCCTCTAAATAGCCAGCAGTGGTCCAGACCTACAGTATTCATGCCTTTAGGTAACCCCCTCCCCTTGAGTGTGGCTGGGCCTAGCGACTGGCTTCTGGTGAGTAGAATACAGCAAAAGTCTCGGGATGTCACTTCCTGGTTTAGACTGCAGAAAGACTGTGACTTCTTGTCTTGCTTGCCGCCATTTTCCTCTCAGTGCCCTGGCTCTAGTGGAAGCTAGCTGTCATGTGGCGAGTAGTTCTCTAGAGAGGTCTTTGTGGCAAGGAACTAATGTCTCTGACCAACAGCCCTGACCAGCAGCTGACTTGCAGCCTTCTGAGAATCCCTGACCTAGGCGAGCCAGTTAAGCCACCTGTTACAACGGTGATAGAGTAAATACTTACTGTTGTAAGCTGCAAAATTTGGGGGTAATTTGTTACGCAGCAATATATAACTAACATTAATTAACTGAAAAAATTAGGATATCAAACTATAAACAGTTTATTTGGTACAACTTTCCAAGGAGCTAATATGACCATAAATATTAAACTCCCCTAAAATTTTATACATTCTTTGTCCTTATCGTTCCACATCTAGAAATTTCTCTTAAGGAAAAAGAAAAATCATGGAATTCTAACAAAGGAATAGTTACAAGGATGTTTAGAACAGTGTTATTTATAATGGCAAAAAATGGGTAGCAGTCCGTATATCTAATAACAGGGGATTGAGTAACTATATCATGGAATTGCTGCTAATAGAACAGGTTGAAATCCATTAGTGAATCTTAAAAACAAACTGACTTGCTGTCAGCATTTGAAAAAATAAAATGAAATCAATTTGAAAATATCAGAGGGGAAAAAACCAAAAAACAAAACAGACAACAAAAAAGAAAGTATCAGAGGAAAGGTAAGTTTTGCTTCATAAGAAATTTCCATTTCATGTTTGTATATGTGTACATTGTGATAGTAAATGAATTCCTTACTCTGAGTCATGGTCCAAACTTTTAAACTCTGTAGTGTCAAAAAAAGATACATATAGGGGCACCTGGGCGGCTGAGTCCCTTAAGCATAGGACTTTTGATTTTGGCTCAGGTCGTGATCTCATGTGGTAGGATTGAGTCCCATATCAGGCTCCATGCTCAGTGGGGAGTCTGCTTGAGATTCTCTCCCTCTCCCTTTGCCTACCCCCGCCCCCCGCTCACATGCACACATGTACACTTTTTCTCTCTCAAATAAATAAATCTTGAAAAGAAAAAAGCTATGTACAAAACTACTTAGTGGTACAAAAAAGTATGCAAAAGATATTAAATTATCAAACAGCATGCTTATGTTACAAAATAATCTAACTTCATTAAAATTTAAAACAAGCAAAGCTCTATGAAAAATGGAAAATAAATACACCAAACATATCATTTATACTTTTCTTTTTAAATCTATATTTTAAAATTTTCTACAACAAACATGTCTTCTTTAAACTTATTTCCTGAATAATAATAATAATGGTTTTTAAAGTTTCCCTAATAACTATATATTATGTATTAGTATTTTCTCAACTATGTTATATTTGCGTAGAAAAAAGACTGAAAGGAAATTTGCCAGAATGTCAGTTAGAAGTGGTGGTTTTTATGTGGTGGGATTGTGGGGAATTTTTAATGTTTTAGAAAACTTAGAAATATTTCTAAAATGAACATGTTTTTCTTTTATAATAAAAAATTTAAAAAATAATTTAAAGTAATCTCTACATCCAACATTGAGCTTGAACTCATGATCCTAAAATCAAGAGTTGCATGCTCTGCTGACTAAGCCATCCAGGCTCCCCTATAAATAAACATTTTTAATAAGAGAAGGAAAAGAAGAGGCATTTTTTTTTAAAGATTTTTTTTAAATTTATTTATTTGACAGACAGAGATCACAAGCAGGCAGAGAGGCAGACAGAGAGAGAGAGAGGAGGAAGCAGGCTCCCTGCTGAGCAGAGAGCCCAATGTGGGACTCAATCCCAGGACCCCGAGATCATGACCCGAGCCGAAGGCAGCGGCCCAATCCACTGAGCCACCCAGGCGCCCCCAAGAGGCATTTTTTTTTTTAAAGATTTTATTTATTTATTTGACACGGAGAGAGAGATCACAAGCAGGTAGAGAGGCAGGCAGAGAGAGAGGGGGAAGCAGGCTCCCTGCTGAACAGAGAAGAGAGCCCAATGCGGGGCTCGATCCCAGGACCCTGAGACCATGACCTGAGCTGAAGGCAGAGGCTTAACCCACTGAGCTACCCAGGCACCCCAAGAAGAGGCATTTTTATTTTTTTTTTAATTTTTTTATTTTTAAAGATTTTATTTATTTATTTGACAGACAGAGATCACAAGCAGGCAGAGGCAGGCAGAGAGAGAGGAAGGGAAACAGGCTCCCCGTGGAGCAGAGAGCCCGATGTGGGGCTCGATTCCAGGACCCTGGGATCACGACCCGATCTGAAGGCAGAGGCTTTAACCCACCGAGCCACACAGGTGCCCCCAGAAGAGGCATTTTTAAAAAAGACTTTATTTATTTGAGAGAGAGCACACAAGCAGGGGGAGCAGCAGAGGCAAAGGGAGAAGGAGGCCCAAGGAAGCTCCTTGCGGAGCAGGGAGCCCAATGCCAGGGCTCGATCCCAGGACCCTGGGATCATGACCTGAGTCAAAGACAGATGTTTAACCAACTGAGCCACCCAGGCGCCCCAAGGAAGATGCATTTAAGAGCAGTGTAGTTCTGATGGTGTCTGCCTGTGGCCTATTTTATCCCACCACTGGACCTAGGTCAAGCAAGGAGCAGGGCAGACACCCTTACCTCTGCCCAGGCCGGCACCCTCTTTGTTTGCCCATCCTGACGTGGCCCTGCGGTCTTGGTGCTTTTTTCTTTCCATGTTATCTTGGGGCATGATTCCCTTATCTTGGGCAAACTAATTGACTAATGGTGACATGCATAGGCCAGTGAGACGTGTGTGAGTGCAGAAATGGAAGAATGTTAATAAAGAGCCTTACACATACATAATGGGCATAACTCATTTGTGTGCCATTGAGGTTCACGGGGGCCATTCTGTATGCTCTTGCAAAATCTCCCCAGCCTTCAGTTTACAGATGAGGAAACAGGCTCACAAAAGCTCCATGCGTGAACCTGTGTCCCTGTATGGGCGTCTATGAAGTTTGCCTATGTTGTGTCCCCATTCCATTACCAAGTTCTATTAAATAGTACCCCCTAAGTAGTTCTGCACTGTCCCCTTCTCACTACTGACAATACTACCTCCACCAGTCAAGCCCTACAGCAGTGGTCTCCTAACTGATCTCCTTCAGACTTTCTGTACCCTCTGATTCTCTATTTAACAGGCAGGGTGAGATTTTGAAAATTTAAATCTGAACATGTCAGCCTATCCCACCACTGTTGCTCAAGATTTTGCTCCCAATGTGCTTAGGAGAGAGACAGAATTCCTTAATGTGGATCACAGGGCCCTGTGTAGATACCTCCACCCCTTCTGCCTCATGACTGTGTTTCCCTCCCTCCTCTCTGTTATAGTCCCATTGACCTTTTAATCCTTGTATTCAACATCTCCCTCCTGCCACAGGGCCTTTGCATTTGCTCTGACTTCTGCCAGATCCACTCCTGCTGGTCCCTGTGCCTAGTTAACTCCTATTCATCCTTTAGAACTCAGTTCAAACTGTTACCACTTGCTAAGTCACATCCTCAGTAGACATTCTTATAGCACCTTTTACCTTTTTTTTTTTTTCAGATTACTAAATACAGTTGCAGCTTTACATTTCTTTGCTTAGTTGATTAACATTGGTTTATTTTTACACTCCACTATAAGTTCCATGAAGGTGAGGACAGAGTTTCTTTTGGATCGCCAATCCCCAGGCCCGAGCATAATGCTTTGCCTACTATAGGACCTCCTAAAATCTTTGTTATTAAGTGAATGAGTTAATGAATGAACAAAATCCATTCAGTCTTCCAATCTGGTTCCTTTTCCTGAAAGTGTTCCTGAACTCTTCACAAGACAGGAAACAGAAGACGGAGGGAATGAGAATAATAATACCTGCCCCTCACAGAGTGTAATGGTCATCAAAGTAACACCTGAGTCTACAGGCTACATTTTATCATTTATTTATTTATTTATCTATCAAAGATTTTATTTATTTATTTATTTATTTAAAAAAATATTTTATTTATTTATTTGACAGAGAGATCACAAGTAGGCAGAGAGGCAGGCAGAGAGAGAGAGAAGCAGGCTCCCTGCTGAGCAGAGAGCACAATGCGGCCCTCTATCCCAGGACCCTGAGATCATGACCCGAGCCAAAGGCAGAGTTTTAACCCACTGAGCCACCCAGGGGCCCCACAGATTTTATTTATTTATTTGACAGAGACACGACGAGAGAGGGAACACAAGCAGAGGGAGTGGGAGAGGGAGAAGCGGGCTTCCCAGTGGAGCAGGGAGCCCCATGTGGGGCTTGATCCTAGGACCATGGGATATTGACCTGAGCAGAAGGCAGATGCTTAATAACTGAGGCTACATTTTAGAGGCCTCCTCACTGCTGCTCATTTCCACTCTCTTCCACAGAGGCCCAGGAACGAAACCGCTGTAGAGAAATCCCTCAGCAAGCCTTTGGCAGACAGAGCCTTACCAGGAAGGCAGAGAGCGAGAAGGCAAAGAAAGGAAGGGAATGGGGGCGCCTGGGTGGCTCACTCAGTTAAGTGTCTGCCTTCGGCTCAGGTCATGATCTCAGGGTCCTGGGATGGAGCCCGGCATCAGGCTCCCTACTCTGTGGGGAGCCTGCTTCTCCGGCTCCCTCTGCCCTGCCGCTCCCCCTGCTTGTGCTCTCTCTGTCAAATAAATAAATAAAATCTTAAAACAAATTAGAAAAAAAAGGGGGAGCCTGCTTCCCCCTCTCTCTCTGTCTGCCTCTCTGCCTGCTTGTGATCTCTCGTCCTCTGTGTCAAATAAACAAATAAAATCTTTTTTTTTTTTAAAGGAAGGGAATGGATGTCTCTTGAGAAGGAACTCTGTTTTGGACATCATATTTACATATATTAACTCATTTAATCTTCCCCCAAAACCCTATGTGGCAGATGAGAAAATGGACTCAAAGAGGTTGTGAAATGTGAAGGTTATAAAACTTTGCAGAACAGGGTAAAAAGCTGAGTTTGAACTCAGATCTGTCAGCCTTCCTCCAAAGTCTGGGCTTTTCCAGGCTGCTTTCCTGGGGTGCAGCCCTCAAACATCTCCCCGCCTCTGTTAACTTAGAGCCCCAAAGTTTTTCATCGTTAAAGACTCATCTATTAGAGGCGCCTGAGTGGCTCAGTCAGTTAAGCGTCTGACTCTTGGTTTCGGCTCATGTCATGATCTCATAGAGTGTTCACCCTCTCTCTCAAATAAATAAATCTTAAAAAGAAAAAGGCTCATCTATTGGCTATTATCTAAAGCTCTCTTTCAGGAGTCAGTGTATGATGGTTTTAGTCGATACATTGGAAACAGAAACTCAATATTTTATTTGATTTTTAAAGATTTTATTTATTTATTTGAGAGAGAGAGAAATAGCCAGAGAGAGAGCACAAGTGGTTGGGGGGAGGGAGAAGCAGGCTCCCCACAGAGCTGGGGGCCCCACATGGGGCTCAATCCCAGGACTCCAGGACCATGACCTGAGCCAAAGGAAAACACTTAACTGACTGAGCCACCAGGTACCCTGAAACTCAGCATTTTAAAGGCAACTACTGCAAGACCTAAAGAGAAATTTATAAACAAATATTGGAATGTAGAAAGTAAAGGGGGATGACAAAGTTAATTTCCCATTCTTCATAGGGAGAAGACAAGAGATACTGTCTAGAATGGACAAATATATTATACAAAGGGATAAATGGTGATTACTGGAGAATTAAAAACAGAAGCTGTTGGTGGGGTTGCTTCTGGGGAGTGGGGCTGGGGAGAGCAGAGAAACTTCCATTTTTCATTTGTCCTTCTGAACTGTTTATCTCTTTAAAAAATGACAGTGTTTCTTCTGTAACTTTTGTAAAAAGCTTTTAGAAATTTTTGTTACAGGGCACCTGGGTAGTGCAGTCAGTTGAGTGTCTGACTCTTGATTTTGACTGGGTGTGATCTCAAGGTCCTAGGATGGAGCCCCGCATCAGGCTCCACAGTCAGCAGGGATTCTGTCGATTCTGTCTTCCTTTCCCTCTGCCCCTCCTGCTCGGGCTCTCATTCTCTCTCTCTCTCTCTCTAAAAAAAAAAAAAAAAAAAAAAAAAAAATTGTTACAAAAGACTGAACAAACAAACATACGCTTCCTTTAGAATGCAAGTACTGTATGTTTAGAGCTATTAGTCTCATTACCAGGGTAAAAGTTAGGTCTGCAGGTTTCCTTTGTGTCAAGAAGGACCTGAGTCAGGGGAGGTTCATGTGATGATAAACATGGCTTCCCAAGCAGTTGCCTCTGGGGAACTCGCATGGGGGACAAGCTTGATTAATTTATCTTTGCAAGCACAGAGCCAGGCTGACAGAGGAGCACCTCTTTCCTTCCATATCCATAAGGCAGCTCACAATCAGACACACACAGACACAAGAAGGTCCTGACCTGATGAGGGCCAGAGAGAACCATTCCTCTAACTACCTCTGGTGAGACTCTGCCCCCTGCCAGTGCTCCACTCTGAGCAAGAGCGCCTACCAGTCGGGGACCCTGCTCCTGCAGGATCCATCTGACTGCAGCTCCTCAAGGCCCAGGTGGATCTAGTCCTAGGAAGATGGGATGCTGAGGGCTCTCAGGTGAGTGTGACTCTGGTCCTGTTCTACAACTGGCCATAGAGCACCGATCAGAGCCCTGTACCCCTCAGGACCAGAGGGTCCCTTCTTCCTCCCAAGGCATGGCACGTTCTTGACCATTGCTTATCTGAGGTTGAAATAACTTTGGGCTCCAGTAGCTGCAAAAAGGAGGGCTGGGGCACAGCTCAGGTATGCCACTCAGTGGCAGCAAGGAGCCAGGAGATGGGCATTCCCAGCACCAGAGAAAGTCCTATTGATCTTTGACCCTCCGCCCTTCCTGGAGCCTTGGCCCTCCCTCTTTCCCCCTTCCTTTCTTCCCTGCTGGCCTCTCCCTCTGTTCAGCTCCTCACTTCCCTGGCACCCCTGCTCTGACCGGCAGTTTTTCCCAGGTCCTGGCTCACGCCAGTCCTTCCATGCTGTCCTCAAGCCCTGCTTCCTGCACATCTCCCAACCCCGATGGGGAGAACTTGAGTAAGAAGGTCCACTGGACTTCTGGGAGGAGGAGGATGTCATCCACAGACTCAGAGTCAAAGTCCTACGCCGACCCCTCCAAAGTGTCCAGGTCCCGGAGACCCAGCCGGCTGACGGTGAAGTATGACCGGGGGCAGCTCCAGCGCTGGCTGGAGATGGAGCAGTGGGTGGACTCGAAAGTTCAGGAGCTCTTCCAGGTGAGAGACACGATGCCGGGGGTGGGGGGAGGACACTGGGTGTCGGGGAGAGAGCCTGCCGGGATACCGCAGGAGGAGCTGGAGGGCCAATGTGAGATGCTCCCATAGAGAGAAAGCGTCTCCCAACAGCTGACAATAGATTTGCAGTCCGGAAATCTGCCTCCCTCTGGTCTGGGCTTTGCCTCTAATGCTCTTCAAAAAATCTTTGCCAGGTTGTTTTAATATCCCTGAGACTAAGTTTCCTAATCTATAAAATGAGCCTGTCAATGCCTGTTGTATCTTCTTTGTGGGACGTTTTGAAGCTCCAGTGAAACAGAAGAGCTATTTTTATTTATTTTCTGTCTTCCTCTCATCCTCAAAACATCTACATGTCAAGAGCTGCATTGTCTAGCACTCTAGCTATCAGCCATGTGTGGCCATTGGCCTTCAAATTAATAAAATTAAATAAAATACCAAGTTCAGTCTCTCATTCACACTGGCCACATTTCAAGTGCCCCATAGTCCCACGTGGCTAGTGGCTGCCATCTTGTCAGCACAGATAGAGAAACATTTCCGTCCTCTCAAAGTGAACAGCACTAGACTAGAATAAGTCCTCAGCCCTGGCTCTGACTGACTCCCCTCAACTCCCCCTGAGGAAAGGACAGGTCTCTGCCCCTTGTCACGAGACAGTGGCACTTTCTTCCTTAGGTAACTAAAACTCAGGACCCTAGAGTAGTCACCACTGCTGTTTCAACAACGACAGTAACATTCTGAACACTGAACTCTGTTAGATACAGTGCCTCATATAGGTCCTCCCTATTCCTCCCTCAGGTAGACAGGCTTTACCGTGGAGGAAATGGAAGCTTAGAGATGTTGAGTAACAAAGGAGCCCAAGGTCACACGACTAGGAAACCAAGAGACCAGGAGCTGCAGCTGGGGCTCTGCCTATAGAGCCCGGGCACTTAGGGGAGCAGCTTAGTGGTTCTCCACCCATGAAGTACTTCAGAAAAAACCTTATGACCTGACTGCGCTCCAACTGACTAAATCTATTAGGGTGGGGCCCAGACACTTGCCTTTCTTTTCTTTTCTTTTTCTTTTTTTTTTTTTTGGCTCCAGTTAATTCTAGTATGTGGCTTGCTGAGAACCACTGCACCAAACCAGAGCCCAGGAGTCTTCCTCTACATACCCTGGTCTTTCTTTCTCCTCCTTCTTGACTCTGTTCCTATCTTTTCCTTTCGGGGCAGGGGCTCGTCATTCTTCCAGATAAGGGCTGTGCTGCGGTTGGGGTGGAGAAGAATGATCCACATAGCCCAGGCTGTCTTGGGAAGCTCACTGGGTCATGTGTTGGTGTGGTCCACGTGTCCACCATGTCCCCTGCAGCATCCTGGGCTCCCTCGTGCAGGGGAGGGAGATGCTCTGGAGCTGGGAGCAGGAGAGGCACACTTTCTCCACATGCTTCTGCTCAACCTCCACTGCCCTTCTATCCTGCGAGCACCCTCCCTCCTTGGATCAGTTTCAGTTTCAGATTGTTATGCACTTGCATAAAAAGGCTCATATTTCAGACACCTCAGAGCAAATTTTTCTAGGCATCAGAGAAAGATACTAGACAAAGAATCTCATTTTGTAAGATCAATGGGCAGGGGGAGGGCTGCACAATAATGAGCTCATAACGCTGGAAAACAGGATATGTGGGAGGACCACTCCCAGGCAATGACCGAAATAAAATACCTGGCCTGCGGTTGCCATGGCAATTGTCCAAAGGTGCTAGGTGGCAGTTCCTCTCCCAGTCCCTGCTGTTTTCAGCAGGAAGCAGCCAAGTGGCTGTGGAAGCCCCAGGTGGCTGGTCATCTTGGGACAGATTGAGGCAACTGTGTGTCCGTCACAGAGTGACCATCACAGAGCCTGTCTCCGTGCAGCGGGCTCTCCTCAACATACCCACCTTGGAGAGCCCTGTGGGTTCCAGGCATGCATTACTGCTTGTTCACTTTGATTTAATGAGATCCAACTTTACTTTGATGGAGGCCCCCCCTTCTCACTGAGTTTAAAAGCTGCTTTGGAGTCTTCAGAGGAACCAAGTCTGGGTTCAACAAAACAGACTTGGGGCTCTAGTGCTCTTATTGTCCAGAGGTGGAGTGTGGATTTGGCTTCTAAGCAAGGCTATAAACACTCATAAGTTTCTCCTATTTTAAGGAGACTCTTTTTTTTTTTTAATTTTTAAATTTTATTTTAAAGTTTTTTTTTTGTTTATTCATTTGACAGAGATCACAAGTAGGCAGAGAGGCAGGCAGAGAGAGAGGGGAAAGCAGGCTTCCCGCTGAGAAGAGAGCCCGATGCTATGCAGGGCTCGATCCCAGGATCCTGAGATCATGACCTGAGCTGAAGGCAGAGGCTTAACCCACTAAGCCAAACAGGTGCCCCTATTTTAAGGAGACTCTTGCTCAACAATGCACCCCCTCCTCAGTTCCTACCCCTAATTTCATGTCTCTTTTAGGACAAGACTTCTTAAAGGATTTGTCCACACTCCCACTTACCTTTCCCTTTCCTATCACTATTCAAACCACTGGAACCTGTCTTCTGTTCCAACCATTCTATTGAGAGCTCTTGCCAAGGTCACCGATCACTGTCTTGGGGCCAAATCTAATGTACACATCAGCACAGTACACTGTTGACCACCCCAGAGTTTTGAAAACATTCCTATAGCTTCTATGACACTATCTTTTTCTGGTGGCAGCTGGCATTTTGATGTAGCCCTTCTGATGCGGTGACATCTTAAGAAACAATCTATTAGACTTCCGACCTTAAAAAAGTATTGTTAACAAATATGTGAAATGACACTTGTGAGCTCCTTCCTGGGCCTTACTCCACTGCTGGTTCCCATGGCAGAGAGGTCAGGAGGAAGGGGACTGAGGATGGAGTGAAGGTGAGAATGGAGTCAAGTCTGGCAGCATCTGGCAGGAAACCCCTTCATGAAACATCAAGTCACAGGTTTGCCACACTTGTTCAGCCCAGCAAGTGTTGTTTGACATTTAGGGAAGGAATATTTGGATCATGATATCAGCCCATATTCTCAACTCCAGAGACTCTCAGTAATATATACTACCTTATATTCAAAATACGTGTGGATAATATCACAGGTGGTATGAAAAGGTTTTTTGGGGGTCCAGACTTGTACTCTTTTAGAGGTAGAATTCTAGTAATTGGAAGGCAACTTTACTATTCAGCCTCCCCCCTCCCCACCACGTTCTGGGATTCCAGCTGCATATATGTGAGACCACTCAATATCACACCACAGGTCATCAAGGCTCTGTTCTCTTCTTCCTCCCCAACCTCTCAAGGTTTTTTTCTTTCTGTGTTTCTTTTTTTTAAGATTTTGTTTATTTGTTTGTTTGTTTGTTTTGCTAAAGAGAGAGCACAAGTAGGCAGAGCAGCAGGGAGAGGGAGAGGTAGGCTTCCCACTGAGCAGAGAGCCCGATGTGGGGCTCAGTCCCAGGACCCTGAGATCATGACCTGAGCCAAAGGCAGCCACTTAATCAACTGAGCCACCGCAGGCACCCCATCTTTCTGTGTTTCATCTTGGCTAGTTTCTATCACTGTATCTTTAGGTTGAACTGATTCTTTTTTTGGCAACGTCCAAATATGCTGTTAACTCCATTCAGTAAATTTTTTCATTGAAAATATTTTATCTTTCAGGGCACCTGGCTGGCTCAGTCGGTAGAGCATGTGACTCTTGATCTCCAGGTTATGAGTTCAAGGCCCACACTGCATGTAGAGATTACTTAAAAATAAAATCTTTACAAAAATATTGTATTTTTCATCTCTGGATATTCCATTTGGCTTTTTTCTCATATATTTCATTTTTCTCATTACTGTGTTTGTGTTTTCCTCATCTGCTAATTCCACCATCTGTCATTTCTGGGTCAGCTTCTATTAACTGATTTATCTCCTCTTTATAGGTCACATTTCCTGCTTCTGGTATGACTAGTGATTTTTGTTTGTATACTGGACATTTTATGAGTTTTATGTTACTGGGTAACTAGATTTTTTTTTTCTTCCTTTAAAGCATTGGCCCTTGTTCTAATAGGTGGTTTAGTTACTTGTGGCTCAGTTTGATCCTTCTGAAGCTTGTTTTTAAGTTATGTTGAGTCTAGAGTAGCCTTTAATCTAGAGAATAATTTAACCCCCAGTAAGGGCTCTACCGAATTCCTGCACAATCAGTGATGACCATCCACTCTGGCTGGGTGGAACTTGATTTGCCTCCCAGTCCTGTGTGAGATCTGTTTGTCTCTGGACCTTCGGTGCCTCACACTGCCTGGCCTCTTGAGGGTTTACATTATGAATGTGCATCTTGTGTTCAGGAAAGACTTAAGAGGACCCTTATGCAGATTTCTGGAGGTCTCTTTCTTCATAACTCCCTCCTCTCCACGGCTGTGTCTAGCAACCTCCAGCCACCTCAACCCTGAGCTCTGATCTCCGTCACATTAATATAGCAAGACCACTGTGCTCTGCTTGAGGCCTCCCTCTCTGCTCTGTGGTCAGGAAATTGCCTCTAGGAATAAATATAGGGCAGTTACAGAGTTTGCCTCTTCTGTTTCCTTTCTCTCTCAGGTAGCCGTGAAGAACCTGTTGTCCAATGACTGAAAACACTGTTCATATATTTTTGTCTAGTTTAGTGGTTACTTATGTTGGGAGAATAAATATAGCCTCTGTTACTCCATCATTTCCAGAAATATAAATAATCTGGTTAACTCTTATTCAGCTTTCAGGTCTCGGATTAGAAGTTACTTCCTCCAGGAAGTCTTCCCGAACCCTAGGCTTGGTTATGTTCCCCTTCTGTGTGTTCTTGAAGTATCTCATCAGAGTGCCTATCTCTCTGTATTATTATTATTTTTGAAAGATTTTGTTTATTTATTTATTTTTAAAAGATTTTATTTATTTATTTGACAGAGATCACAAGTAGGCAGAGAGGCAGGCAGAGAGAGGAGGAAGCAGTCTCCCCGCTGAGCAGAGAGCCCGATGTGGGG